TAACGAACTTCTGGATGCCTATCGGAAAAGGCAAAAGCGACGCCAGATCCGGATCGATCCATCGAAACTTCATTTTCAGCCCAAGGATTGGTCGAGAAGAAAAATTTGAATAATTCCCTGTACCTAAAAATTTTAGGAATTTCCTGGGGATAAGTTGCGATTAAGAAGAGCAACTTTTTCATGCTATTTTTTTACGGACTTTTTTTTGGGCAGTTTTTTTTTGCCTTTTTTTGCCATTTTTCGTCGTTCGGATACATTCGAGTTGGTTCGGATCGTTTTCAGGAGTCTTTTTGATGGTTTACGGGGCTGTTGTTCAAAAGGGTGGTCTCTTGAAACACGAATTTTGCTGTTTCTCGTTCCTTCACTTGAGCTATAGCATATTTTTTTGTACATTTCCTTATTTAGGCCTAATTTATTTTCTTTGCATCAATATGCATACAGTTTTGGTATACGTGTAATGTTATTTTTTTCCAAGTACTTAACTTTGATATGTATAAGGAAGTTGTTGAAATAAACTCTGTGATTGCGGGAAAATACTGTGCCAATGTGTTTTTTTTCGAGTAAAATCTGATATTGTTATTTCATTCCATTAGCATGCAGGTAGCCGCAAGTGTCCGCAGGTAACACGTATTGCCCCCGTAAAGGTTTTGGCAGAGAAAATTATTATCTCAGGATCCACGAAAGCTAGGAAGCTGAAATTTTATGGTGATGTCCCTTGCCCATGTGCGAGCTCGCAAATTTAAACTCACTCTTCCCGTGCTCGCAGATGACACGTACGACTTCGTAAAAGTTATGGCGAGGAAAACTTTTATCTCGGGAATCAGAAGAGCTGTGAGACTGAAATTTTAGGACGATGTTTTCTGCCTGTACAGATATATCACACACTCAAATTTAGTTCCCAAATATGCCGAGGTAATACGTACGACTAAATGAGTTTTGAAGCAAAAGTCACTAGCTCGAAAGCCAGAAAACTGGAAAATTGAAATTCCGGAGGATGTTCCTCATCCAAGGTTTCAAATTCAGCTTTCATAATCTGGTGCATGGAATTTTTAACTTTTTTCCAATGTTTGAACTATTTTTGCATAAACAAAAATACAGCAGTGAAAATCATTAATAGGCAATCGTTCGATGGGCTGCATTGCACAAAACGCATGATCGCACAGGCTAGTCTGGTGCGCGTTGCTATTTATTTTTTTCGCAACAGAGCGGAAGTAGCAGTAGCAGAAAAATCCTGCAGTGCCTTACAGGAGAAAAATCGTGAGATATTATTTCTTCGTGGAAAAATTCGTGAGTTTATGGAAACACGATTAGCGGGAGATTTCGCTGAACATCGATGATTTTCGTTGCATGGAGCCTGTGGGATTTGCACATTTACGTGCTGGAGAAGCTCCCGCTGATGTTATTCCAGCACGATCGAACAAGAAGTACAAAAAAGCAGATTTGGATGTATCCAAGTAAGTTCGATCATTAACTAACAGAACAATTTAGGACAGATTTTTTTGATAAAAATTTTGAGATACCATTTTTCTTGATTTTTCGGAGCTTATTGTCTTGCGTCACTGTATCGGTTTTTTTTCTGAAGGCACTCATTGGTTTTTTTAACGAATTTTTATTTTCGCAAGTTTTTGTCGCTAGCGGCGCCGTTTTTTTCCCG